AGGTGGATCTCTGTGAGTTCGAGGTCAGCCTGGTCTCCAGAGCGAGTGCCAGGATAGGCTCCAAAGCTACACAGAGAAACCCTGTCTCGAAAACCCAAAAATAAAATAAAATAAAATAAAAAACAAAAAACGAGGGCTGGAGAGATGGCTCAGAGGTTAACAGCACTGGCTGCTCTTCCAGAGGTCATGAGTTCAATTCCCAGCAACGACATGGCGACTCACAACCATCTACAGTGAGATCTGGTGCCCTCTTCTGGTCCGCAGGCATATTGCATGCAGGCAAAACACCACACACACAGTAAATAAATAAAAATCTTTTAAAAAATTAAACAATGAGATGTAAAGTGCTGCAGCCTTGTTATCACTGTGAATCTGTGAAATTGCCATGCCACCAGTGCACTGGTCAACCAACGCAGGCCATGATTTTACATTGCTGTGACAAGAAATGACTTCCTACATGAAGTGAATGATTTGAGACTTTGCCTACATACAGAGGTGAACTGGGGGGGGGGGCAGGGAAGGGATTACAGTGGCACACGTCATTTTAGCAGGTTCAAGAGGAGAAGCTAGGTAGACACAGTAAGACAAATTCTTTTCTTCCTTTCTTACTTCCTTTTCTGGGAAGAATTTTTTCGGGAAGAGACCCTCAGCCAGGGACAGCCCTTCTCCCAGAGGTACTCCCCTGCGGTCCATCCACGCCAACCTTTTCTTGCTCTCTAGGGCTGCTTTCCCTTGATATTAACTCTCCACTTTTGCTCAAGTTGCCTTCCGTGGAGTTTCTTCCTCCCTCACATTGGAAATCATACCCGGAAACCACTGCTGGTGTAACTGTGAGAAAGACAGTGTCTCCCGGGGCAGTCACTTTGTCAGCAAAAGCTGACATCTATTAACTACATGAAGATTCCCCAGAATAACTATTATGACATTAACAAGCTATTAACACAAAAGATAACCTTCCCAGAAGACAGGGCTTCTTTTCTAACAGTAAATTCTTCTTTTAAAAGATTTATATTCTTGGATTGGCCAAAGGGGCTCCATGGAAACCCCCAAAACAACCCAGGCTATTGCCAAGGCTAATGGTTGCTTCCCACAAACTGACAGCAAGGCTCTATTGCTGAAGACAACATCTACATAACTCCCTGAACACAGAGGAGTCAAGCTGGTGCCTACCTAGCTTTTCCACTCCTGCTGACTAGAGTTCACAGTACTGGAAGGAAGGTACTCTGCATGCCAGCAGAGGAGAAAGGTAAGACAAAGCCAGGTACAAACCTTTCGATCTACAACGGTGACCTACCTACAAGATACACTGATGTAATAGGGGCACAGAAGTTGTAGCAGTAACTGACCAATGACTGGATTTAAGACCCGCTCCATGAGATGGAACCCATCCCCAACACAGCTTGGTTGGCACAAAACCTGAGACTAGAAAGGCCAGGGACCAATGGGAAACCTCAAACTACTGTTCTGCTGAAGGAACACAGTAATAAAAGGACTAGTGACGTTTTGTTAAACTCATAGATCAGTGTCTTGCTCGGCCATCACCAGAGAAGCTTCTCCTGCAGTAGATGGGAACAAAAGCAGACCCATAACCAGACATGCGCAGAGAGAGAGAGAGAGAGAGAGAGAGAGAGAGAGAGAGAGAGAGAGGAGAGAGAGAGAGAGAGAGAGGAGAGAGGAGAGAGAGAGAGGGAGGAGAGAGAGAGAGAGGGAGAGAAGAGAGAGAGAGAGAGGGAGAGGGAGAGGGAGAGGAGAGAGAGAGAGGAGAGAGAGAGAGGGAGAGAGGGAGAGAGAGGGGAGAGAGAGAGGCGAGAGAAAAGAGAGAGAGGGAGAGAGGAGAGAGAGAGGGAGAGAGGAGAGAGAGAGA